TATATATATATATATATATATATATATATATATATATAAAAACTGTTTTTTCCCAGATGCAAAATTTGTATCAAAACAAGATCCATCAGACAGACTGGTGAATTACAAAACTAGAGCAGCAGAGATGGTAGAATGAAAAAAGATCAGAAGCAGCTTAAGTGAACTGGAAGATATAGGCCCAAATGTAGCCCGGCAAGTAAAAGTTTCTGTGCTTGTGACTTGGCTTCATCTATCGTGTCAGTGGATTCGGTGCTCAGAGCAAACAGACCACAGTACTGCCTGAAGAAAAGAAAAAATGAGCTTGAAAAAGAAAAAGACGAGGCAAATAATGTGCCTCTGCTAGGAACAGCAAACGCTCATCCTTCCACTGAAAAGGCAGCACAGCAGCTGTGACACATTGGTATAAAAGCAACTGAAGAGCAAATATTGCCATTAACGTCACAAGTGACACATTCCATTTTAAAGTAATTCAGGTATATTATTAAAAAAAATCTGTACACATTTAATGATTTCAAATGGGGCATTTATTCCCCTCTCAAAGTCTGGCAGCACTGGACTCTCACCAGCAGGGAAGCCCATGACGTTAAAGATGCGGTCCAACTGGTCGTGGTGGTACGGGTTACTGGTCTTGATGTCCTCCTGGCGACAGTGGAATATGGGCTCAGACGTCAGCAGCTCCGCAAAGATGCAGCCAATCGCCCAGATGTCTGGAGGACAAGCAGAGCACACACTTAACCCAAACCGTCACTAAAAGTCGGCGGCACGATGTCCAGAAGTCCGATGGCGATGCACGGTTCTCACCGATGGCTTTGGTGTAGTGCCGAGCCCCCAGCAGGAGCTCAGGCGCTCTGTACCAGAAGGTGACCACCACGGGGTCGAGATCGGCTAAAGGCTTCAGCGGTGAATTGAAGAGACGGGCAAACCCCATGTCCGCTGCAGAACAGACATTAAAGTCAGTTAAGTTACGGAAAACATGACAAGAAGTGAATATTAAACATGTAAAACAAAAAGGAGACATTATACGTACCAATCTTTACTCTACCCCTCTCCGGGCCTTCCCCCATCACTAAAATGTTAGCTGGTTTCTGAGGGAAAGAGACAGAAACACCATTTTGAACATGCTTCCACAATGCAAATTGATTTTACGGCAAAACCACTTTTGTTGAGCTCATCATTTTTGCTTTGTTCTTCACGTTAAAAATACGATTTTTTTAAGACCACATCAAATTCAATGTGTTGCCTGTTTAAAATCATTCTGGACTAACTATGATGCTTGTCAAGACCTGCAGATACTCTGATCCACATCGCTGCATGTGGTTTCTAATGAAAACTCTATGTTGCTGCCCTCTAGTGGACAACATGTGTGTACTGCATCCCACATGAGTGGAAGTATGACATTTCCATCTCACTGTGGAGGTAAATGGAAGATAATGTGGCTTTCCTATCAAACAGTGAAATCTGTTAATAGACTAAACTGTGTGTGATTATTAGTAAATTAGTATATTACGGAACCAAATGAAACACTGGAAACAATGCTTGTAAGTTTCCTTCAGAACACAATACTGCAAATATTTGAAATAAAAAAATTAAAAAAAAAAGCTTTCATGTAATAATCCAATAAAATCAATATAACATTGAACATTGTATAAAAAGTGTTTATGGAAAAAATGCATGCTTATCTTGGACGAATTAAACCTTAATAATAATCATCATTCCAGCCATTACTCAACACATTGAGCTCTACATGCCTTTAACTGATTCTCTGCCCAATAATAATAATCTTCCAATCCCGCAACAACTGCCTTGCTTTCCCCTCAGCCAAAATATTCCCCCCCCCCCACTCCCCTCCTCCCCTCTCCTCCCGTTCCCTCTGTGCCCTCCCCAATCCTCTTACAAGGTCTCTGTGGAGGACCCAGTTGGCGTGGAGGTAATGGATGCCGTCCAGGATCTGGTAGAGCAGAGACTTGACCATTCCTCTGGGCAGCTGAAGAGGCTTCTTGTTGGCCTTGGACGCTCTGTGGAACTTAATAATGTGCTACAGAAAGACAAGAGAACAGTAACTGTGGTGCGTGTGTGTGCATACATGATGACTAAAAAATCCATAGTTTATGCTACGGGCAAGATAATAAGTCTGGTGTTTGTGGCGTGTGTTTCCACTTCCTTGGGAGGGGAATGTGAGTGTGGCATTTTAACTCAGGTCTGATACCCTGCCAAGTGTAATGCAGCAGAGGTTTGGCAGATATATTTTGAATTCTTCTTGGTGTTTTTGTTTTAATGAGACTTAGCGATGCATACAAAAAAAAAAGCACCATTTGAGTTTCTGCAGTATGTGTGATAACTCATGCAGCTCCAGTGTGTGTTGTGTGCGCGCATTTTTTACCCAGAGATCGTGTTCGGCGTAGTCAAAGAGCAGCCACACTTTACGGTCCGCGTGGGACAGGAACACCTTCTGCAGGGAGATGACGTTGGGATGCTTCAGCTCCCGCAGCAGCTACAAAACACAAACCAGCTCAGAAGACCGACCACACACGAGATCATGACTGACAGACAGCCCATTTGCACAAGTTAATGCTGCTATTAACTACTTAAAGTGGGGAAATTACTGTACTGATGACCATAAATAATAGGGCACAGTTTTTATTAATGATATAGTGTATACTCTTTGTATGCATTAATGTCTATTTCCTTCTGCTGGGAGTCTTTCTAACTCTTGTGCTTGATGTATTTTGCTTACTTTACAAAAGCTACTCTGTGAAGTTGATGTAGTTATTACATAAGCCAGTCAGGAATGGCATGAGGGTGTTGAACAGAGACCAAACAAAAGTAAGCCAGGCGGTTCTTACAGCAATCTCTCTGCAGGCCGACATGGAGATGCCAGTGCCTTCAATCTGCTTGAGGGCGTAGTCTTTATCATCCTTCCTACAAACAGAGAGAGGCAGAGCAACATCAACACCAGACCAGACTGCGGGCCCCCTGAGAACATAAAGGGGGGGGCAATTGGCAGCTGGCACAGGGACTCTGAGAAGAGGCCGAGTTGCATTACCTCCAGATTTGTGTAATCAAGCTCACCTCTGAGGCTCAAAACAATACACGGGGAGAGGAAACAGGGGCTCTGTCTGGCGAGGGACAAACGGAGCACCGGGACTCACTCTCACTCGAATGAATTAGTTACAACCCCTCCCTCCCCCCCTGGCCTAAATCATCTCATAAACCCATGCTTTGTGCTTCCTCAGGCCTCGTCCAACAGCTGCAGCACAAATTAGCTCACAAAGACTCATAAACAGAAGTGAACAACAACATCTTTAAACACTTTGGGGATCTTTTGTGTGGTTCTGGCTGCCAGTGTGCCTGGGCTGTGATAATAGGCCTGGTAGCTTGAGCTGCCTCCAGCTCTGGTCCTGGTACACTTCAGACAGAGTCATGGGTTGAATTAGAAACAGTGGGGAAATAAATAAAAGGGTTTAGAAGTTAAGGTGGGTGGCGCCCTGGTGGTCTCAGGGTTTAAGGATCTGACCATGAACCACAGAGTATGAAAAGTGTCATTCCCATCTTTCCCTCCGCTTACTTCATGACATCTCTCCGCAATTAACCATATAGCAAACAAAAAAACACCACAAAATACACAAACTAGGGAATGAATTCTGGCCATAAGTTAAGAGTAATCAGAATAAAAAGTGCTTGCGATGAACGGACACAGATTTTATACACACCGAAACACTACTAATCCAACCAAAAGCTCTCATGTCAGATTCCTCTACAAATGAACACATTTGAACCATTCACACAGAGCTTTCTGTACGACGACTACAGTCACATCAGTAGTTGAAGAGATATTTACCTTGTGTATGAAAAAAAAACAACCACCCTCCCTTAAAAACAAAGGCACACCAATAACAAGCACATGCACCTGCTGTATCCTACATTCACCTAACTCAACCTGCACAGGCTCTTACTGTTACGAAATAAAATAATGCTGACTGTTGAGCAACAACACATGACAAAAAAAGAAAAGAAAAGGGAGGCCACAAATCACAATGGTGAACCATATGTCAGTGTTGTTATACAGGTCAGAAGAGCCTCGTGAGCATCCTGAAGGTGCAGGCAATAGGTTGTCTCCTTTATTTCTCGACATAAATCTAGAACAACATGCTTCATCTCACCAGGCTTGAAGAGGAAGAAGAGAGAAGTAATTAAAGCGTATTTGGAAGAGGGAGGGGAGCTGGTTCACAGGCGAGAGGCCTCGCTGGTCATCAACTCACCCATCTTTTCTCTTCGCCTTGTATACATGGCCGTAGGTGCCTCTTCCCACTTTGCATCCTTCGTACTCAAACAGGTCCTCGACTCGCTCTCTTTCGCCGGTCAGCTTCACTTTGAAATCATAGTCCATTTTCACCACCGGGTGGGCTAAAATGACTCCGCTCCTTCCCTTATAAAGCGTCGCTTTGGGAGGCAACTAGGCTACTCCGACGAGCTCGGTTTGATAATTCGGCTCGTTGCCTTCCCCAGCGTGGCCCTTTCCTTCCTTCAGCCCAGCTTCCACATCGAGTTTTCGGGTTAAATTGTTCGTACCGGAAGGGGATGCGCGGTGCTCGGAGATAGTCCAGGTAGAAAACAAGCCCGAGGTGTATTCCTTTCTCTTGTTGCTGCGTTTCCCTCAGCCGGTATCTGCTCCCAAAGAGACGCACTTCACTCGGTAACGACGCCGTATTCGCGCACGGCACTGTCGCAAAACGTCGTGAAGACAGCCCTGCAGCAGAGAAAGGGCTTAAAGTAAATGGGTAGACAGACAACACCCCACGTAGAAATTCATACTCTTTATAATCAGAGATGATGTTTAAGTTTATACAATTATAACAACCGTATGTTGAAAAAAGTATATTATACTACAGTACAGTTGGTCATAGTGTCACATATTTCAGTGCTATAATAATAAAATAAATATCAGCATGTTCATGTCTATAACATAATGAATCCATTTATTATTAAATGAAGCAAATAACACAATAAGTACATTATTTTTTAAGTATGATGCTAATACTAGAAGAAGCAATTATATTGTCACCTTATAGGGGCAATTCAAAGTGCTTTATGGGGCAAATAAAAACATTTAAAACCAAATATAGATACACATACATTTATTAAAATGGAGTAATAAGTAGCCAAATGTAATGAAGAAATTAAAAGTGAAGGAGAGAAATTCATTAACAAAGGTACAATAAAACCCATTTTTGTACAACAAATACAAAGCTAAGTTTCAAACGTTGTGTTACCTAGGAACAAATGTAGTCAAGGAACTTGTTTTTGACGGACCCTGTAATGTAGCACCGCTGGTCCCATCTTGAGAAGAGAAGGGAGTGCAAAGCAAACCGTCCATATTACCGCTGCTTTGTCAGGTAGTAAATTCCTTTTAATGTAATTGTCATCTCTTATAAAACTATGCTAGGGTTACGTAGACGCGCTGTATACATTAACTGCTTCATAAAACAGTTTGTCACGTTTATATCTGAGGAGTTATTCAGCCTCACAGCTAACACTAGTGTCGACGGACTGCTATTCGCTTACGTTAGATGTGCTAATTTGCTAGTGCTTGGTTAGCAACTAAAACATTGCGTATTTAAAATGACACTTCGCATCCTCGAAAGGTCCTTTAAACTGACTATTGTGTTTGGGCTGAAAACGCAGTTAATCATTACCAGGTGTTAGTATCTCGAATATCTAATTATGTGGTAAAGCTGACAGGATTCTTTGTCTTTCCTTCTTTGCCCTGCGTTTACATGGAGGAGACCTCCGTTTAGTTTATCGTTAGCCACGCCTTTGTAGAGCTGTGATTGGACGGTTGGCGTGTCCGTCAATCACGCTAGGCCGCTCATTGGTTGGCTAACCAGGATGACAACGCCAGTTTTGTTGCTTTATTCCCTGCGTTCAACATGGCCTTCCGTGGCTACTGTTGTAAGTTGGCTAACATTAGCTCACACAAGACAACGATGTTATTAGGAACCTTTTATTGGCGGTGCCTTACAGTGACTGAATCGAGCATTAATCCACAAGCTAAATTAGATTATTCTACGGTGCTAGTCTTCGGGATAAACGTTAGCAGGATTACTGTAGCCTCCTCTTGTTGGAGTCTCTCGATAGAAAATGGATGGCGTTGTCTTAAGTGTCGTCCTTCACTAGGGATTAGTCATTTTAAGGCTGAGGTACCCGAACAACTCTAATTTGCATTTCATTTTTTCCCTAGTATACAAAACAACCCACTAGGAGATGTAGACCTAAGAAAAGCCTTTGTTCTTTTTCTTTACAAATTATAATCGAATAGCCATTAGCTTGAGCAACACATTGTAATCACATAATGAGCATGCAGAGGCTCAACATGTGACTTCAGCCTTATTTTATAAATGCTAAATGTAAAGCTACAGTGGGTAAGCTTCAGATGACATTCCACCCCCTGACTGACACCCTCACTCATCTGTCTGCCAGCACTTTTCAAGGTGATGGACCCTCCTGGTGGGGGAGACGAACGGCGGAGGCAGGCAGAGCGTCTTCGTCGGGAGGAGGCGTACTATCACTTCATTAATGAACTGAGTGAAGAGGAGTACCGCCTCATGAGAGACAGCAACCTGCTCGGCACCCCTGGTGAGGAGGGACACATCTTATGTAGCCTTACTTCACATGTATTCCAAACAGATGAAGTTAATGGTATACCGTATGTCACAATGTATGATACCAATAATCCGCCCACACAATAGGAGCGTGGATGGTTCTTCTTGACCCACTGCTACTGACGACACTTAACGGTATGCATGTGTTTCTCAGGGGAGGTGACTGCCGAGGAGCTCCGGCAGCGTCTTGATGGGGCAAAAGAGCGAATGTCTTCTCAGCCCCGCACTGAGCAGCGTTCGCAAGCTGCTGATTCTGGAGAACAGCAGGGCGGTAGCGGCGAGGGAGAGGAGAGAGCGGCTGGAGGGAGACGAGGAGCAGGTAGGGAGAAGGGGGGGTCTTTATCTTTATCTTTCCAAATGTGGCTTCCACTAGTAATTATAATGCTCTTACTGATGAAGCTGAGTGCTTTTGAAACATCTTTCACACATTTTTTAGGATAAGTATTGATTAATCTTTTATTTAGTGTGATATAAGCTTTGGCAAGGTTCAAAGAAGGTTGCAACACAAGTACAAGAAATTAGGTTTAGGGAGGAATACATGTTAGTTTACAGGCTTACCCATATTTGTTTTTTACAGGGGGCGCAGAGCCTGGAGCCGAACCATCTAATGGTGACTCATTACTGGAGTGGCTGAACACTTTTAGACGCACTGGTAATGCTACTCGCAGTGGGCAAAGTGGCAACCAAACATGGCGCGCTGTCAGCCGGACCAACCCTAACAGCGGAGAGTTCCGCTTTAGCCTGGAGATCAACATTAACCATGATCAGCCAGAGCCGGGGGAGCATAGTGACACTGTGGACACCGCGGAGCCGCCAGTGGCTGCCGCGAATATAACTTCACCCTCTATACGCACCGCTTCCTCATTCTCCAACCCTCGCCTTTCAACCACGCCAAGGCCAGTCCCGTACCCTACCCCTCGCCCAGCCCTCAGTAGGAGGATGCAGACACGGCGTACACGCAGCAGCACTACCACTCTTTCTATGAGCCCCCCTGCACTTCCTGCACCTGTGGCCTCCCCACCCGCTGCTCAGAGGAGAAGTGCCACTTTGCACTCTTTAGCGCCTCCTCCTACTGTTCCCAACCCTCCTCTTGATCAAACGACACCTTCGCAACACCAAGCCCTGAATGCAGAATTAGAGCAGGGCAGTGATGATGTGTCTGCTTCTTTAGACTGTCCCCGTGTGTCACTGCAGTCTGGGTCTCAGGCCCCAGCAGTGGGACCTGAATCGCGTGGCAGGAGGACTCGATCACGTGGACGTGCACGCAGGGCTGCTGCGGGGGGCGGGGTTTCATCCCGCTTGTCAAGGCGCAGCCGTTCTCCCTTGCACAGAATACCCGTTGCCAGTACCACACCACCATCAAGTAGTGGTGCCGGTGGCTCCAGCGTCCCCACTGTTGAGCCAGGCAGTGGCACAAGCTCTGTTTCCGTGGAGGCGGTGGCAGAACCTGCAGCTCTAGCAGAGCCGGCTGTAGAGACGGGAGAACGCGATAGTGAATCTCATGCAGTAGGAGCAGGAAGTTCAGCAGTGCGGCGGCATCCAACCATCATGTTGGACCTGCAGGTGAGAAGGATCCGACCTGGTGAAAACCGCGATCGGGACAGCATCGCCAGCAGAACGCGTTCTCGTGCCCGGGTCGCTGAGAATACAGTCACCTTTGAAAGCGACAGTGGTGGATTTAGACGCACCATCTCCCGCTCTGAGCGAGCTGGGATCCGCACTTATGTGAGCACTATCCGGATTCCACTGAGACGCATCAGTGAGACGGGCCTGGGGGAGCCCAACTCAACCGCCCTGCGGTCCATTTTGCGCCAGATCATGACCGGATTTGGGGAGCTGAGCTCCCTAATGGAGACAGAGGCCGACTCTGAAACTGTTGCGCCTAGCCACACGGATGCTAGTGTTACAAACAGTAGCACCAGCCCAGCCAGTCGTCTACATACAACTGAGACCGAAGCGGGCCAAGTTGGTACGGGTAGGGTAGATCAGGAGAGGGTAGGGCTGGCGGGAAGTGAGGAGGACCAGGGTGGGCCGCCCAGGCTCGGAGGAGGGGTAGTGAGCACCGCAGAGGGACGAGCCACCAGCAGAGACACCAACAACCTGGTAGAAAACGGTACTCTACCCATCCTCCGGCTGGCACACTTCTTCTTGCTCAACGATGAGGAGGATGACGAACACCCTAGGGGCCTGACCAAAGAGCAGATTGACAATCTATCCACGCGTACCTATGGTCAAGCCAGCCTGGAGGGGGAGATAGGTCGTGCATGCAGCGTTTGCATCAACGAGTACGCCCAGGGCAACAAGCTGCGTCGCCTGCCCTGCTCCCATGAATTTCACATCCACTGCATTGACCGCTGGCTCTCTGAAAACAACACCTGCCCCATCTGCAGGCAGCCCATACTCGCAGTGCATCACGACTGACCCGTATGCTCTCAAACACAACTATCAAGTTCCTGGCTGGCTGAACTGAGCAGACCCAAGTGGGCTTTGCATGTACATAGCGCTTTCATGGTTTAATTATTTTTTTTTTTTTGGAAAATATCCATTGTGTTGAAGTTGAAGAAGGTTGAACCAAAAGTGCGGAAAAAAAGAAAACTATAAATGCAGAGAATTTACAGAACTTTATTTTTTTAGACTTTTGTTTTCAGCAACTTATTGTTTTATTTTCTTCTTCCTATGACCCGTTCTCTCTGGTCTCCGCCACAAAGCTTAACAGGCCCATGTCAATGGATGGCATTAATGCTTAAGGGAGCTCCTGAAGTCGCTGCTGACTAGTCTCACTTTAACTCTTTACTGTCTGATACATGTGACGTCTCCTTGTCACAACTGGTCCACACAAATCACTTCTAGACTTGCTTTATTCAGTATAAGCTGTAAATAACTCACCACTGCTTGTATTTTTATGGTTTTGACACAAGCAGCTCCTCACATGCCATGTGTTCAGAATGGAAGCAGGAATTATTTTCTTTTGTAACATTCACCATTTTAAAGCTTTGACATCCATTTTAAAGTGTCCCTCTGCAGTTGGTGAAGAAATGTATGATTTATCGGGATCTGTATGATATATGTATTTAATTTTGAAATAAGTTTTATTCTGTATGTCCAGTAGTATTTGTTTAAGCTCTTTCCACACATTACATTTGCGTATAATTGCAATACAGAATTCATCCATAAAAGTCACCCACTAAAATCAGCCACTTTGAAATCATAAACATGATCCATATCAGCAGCACACTTCTAATGACATGTAGAAGGCATGTGATAATCAGGAATTCAGAGATGTAATTTAGTATGAGTTGTGCAATACGGAGAGAAATAGCAGTATTGGTTGTTTTGCTGTTCATTGTTGTTTACATTGTAATGCCTGATTATCATCTCCACTTAAAAACAGTCTTGTTTACCCTGAACTCAGTTTCCTCTTGGTTCCTGTTGCTATTGCGGATCCATACCTGACCCGTGTCACAAAGTCTCATTGCGTACTAAGCCCGGTACGTATGCTGAGCATAGATATAAAGATTAAAAATAGATTTTCTCAACTCAAAAGTCATCTTCGAGAGAATTCTTGATGTTTGGAGCATCTGCTGCAGGGGTGACTCCAAAACTACAATTTTGAGATCCTGTTAACACATGTTAATTTAATAATTGTCTGTCACTGTGCAAAGGTTGCAGTGTGTTTCAGTCCCAGTGCCAGTGTAACACTTAAATGAGGAAGTGTTAGTAATATATTCCTGTATGCGCTTTATGGTTTTTCTTTACATTACATGCTATGTTGGCATTTCTAGTGTAGCACAGGTTAACTATTGAACTTAACCACCAGGGTCACTTTGAACACCATCAACAGTCCACAGGAGCTGCTGCGTCTCTGCAGTTAACATGTCGCGAATAAAACTGCAGGACTGAAGCAGCGTAGTGTGTGAGGGGTTGAGTTTGTATGGTTTAATTGTGTGTGCATGTACGTTTGTGGGGGTGCTGAAGGAAAGGGCCAGTGTCTCGGTAAACCTGGTTCTCAGAAGGCTTCTTTTCAACTTATGTCCACCTTGGAACACTTGGAGAGGGCTGTGTGGCAACTGAGCTCAGAAGTGAATATTTATTCTGTTCCTATTTAATAAGATGGAAAATCGAACTTTTGAAATATGTATTATGTTACAATGTGATGAGAGTAAACAATTAAGATAAATATGTTACTATGTAATAAATTGAAGACATGGGTTTTCTTCTAACAATGGAATAAAATGCAGCTTTGCTATGCCTGGAAATGCACGGTTTGTGTGTGTGTATGAGCGCGCGATAGTCAGCTCTGTAGCTTTGAGTGATGGACGTCTTCAGCCATATTGCGACGATAATGTTCTTTACATTTCTATAACGGGCAAGCGGATTCTGCGTGGTTTAACCAGTTTCTGTGCACGTTTTGGTGGATTTATATCGCCGTTAAACTGTCGCCGTTGGGGTGAGTGTTAAGCTAAATACGTGAATATTATTGATAATGTGATTATTAACATAACGCTAGCTAATAATTAATTTGACGCCCTCTCATTCCCAACGAGTTTCAGTTGAATGCAAGGGTTAACGGTATATATGACGTTAACGTCAAGGGGTGAAAAAAGACAGAACCCATTAAATTTAAAAAAGTAACACCCTTAACTCAACAATGGTGGCTAACTAGCCAATTTAAGCTAGCGGTTAACGTTATACTGTTTACTTTGCGCACAAAGGCCTGTGCGCGCGCGCGTCTCATCATACGATGCGCGACCCCGTGGCTCTAACGAGAACCTATAATAAAGTGATGCCATGTATACAGGAAGTTTGACAGTTGTCCTTCAAAATAAAGGCTCACAGATCATTTATTTTAAGCATTTGAATTATCCAGTTAAACTCACTTGTTCAATACAGGGCTTAAACGAGTATTATATTAAACTTATCAATACGGAGATAAATAACAGTATTGTTTGTTTAGCAGTTATTAACAGCATTCAAACACATTGTGACACAAAGGCTGCTTGTGTGTGACTTCAGTCTAAAGGTGGCACCTTTAACGTCACCTGCCAGTTTCCTCTTACCTGCTCATCTTTTTTGGGCTAGTGAACGTTTTGTTAAAATATTAAATGTTCAAAGACATAAACCTGTTGCCATATTCTGATAGACTCGTTTTCATTAAGTAGCCTGTAACTTTAATCTAGCTATTTTAATGTGGCTCAACCTAATCCTATTGGCAATTGTAACGTTAAACATCACATTAATTCATTGCACTGAATATTTCCTTGGGAGACTTTACGCTAACGTACTTTATTTTGAAAGCAGTGACGGGAAGTAGCGCATTCTTTAGTCCGTCTGTCTGGAAACTGGCTGGAGCTGAACGTCTTCATAACATTACCTCCGCGATACAGCCGAAAAATAATGATTCCTGAGCAGAAGAAGCGGCCTGGGCCCGGAGCAGCATCCTCCTGGTCTGTCGGTGAGCCGTGAGCATGCCACCGCTCCAGCCTCCTCGTCCCAGCCTCACCGACACTCGATCACCACCAGCAAGATGTATTTCAACCGGAGACCCAAGAAGATACACAGTGAGGGAGGTAAGCAACAAACAACTTATTTAATCTTTGCTCGATCGAGGTTCGCTTAATTCGTGACCTGTTACTTGAAATCGGGTTATTATGTCAGTGTTGATAACATGTAATCATATAGGATGGAGCGGCCTGTATATACTCGTGCGTATTTGATATGTGCTCGGCATAATAACGGGTTGTCTTTTGGACTGCGGCATGCATGTGAGGTGACTTGCTGTAAGCCTATCGGTGTTTTTATCTTTCAGTGTCGCTACATTATTTTTTTTGGCACCAGTTGGGGAAGCAAGGGCAAACCGACCGCAGCACCAGTCATCACTGTCCTTTTTTTAATACGTATTTTTACATCGATACGTGGATCCGTGCTGTGCCTTAACATCACGAAAAGATAACATCCGGAGTCTGTTGTGTGACCTTAGTACATATAATCTACTGTATTTCCCATGGCATTATTGTGGTATTATATAATTGTGTTGCCACAGCCTCTAATATCTAGACCTCATGCAACGCATCACATGGGATACTTTGGTATGTTTTGACTTGCCTTAATCATTCCATATATAAACCCAAGCTCATATAGATCAGTCCAAGAACAGCCTATTACCTCGCCGAATTAGGATCCACGTGACCGTCTAAAGAGTGGTCCTTATTCTGGGCCCGTCCGGAAATGACTGGACGTGGATGGCCTTCAGATCAAGGGAGTGTCTGTGTTTACATCTCAGAATTCTCATGTGTTGGAAAGATATGTTTCAGGATGTTGTACAGAGGCCTGGTTCTGCTAGATCCTGTAAACCAAGCTGTTCATTTAAAAAGATCATCCTTCATAAGAAAACGGTATAGTGAGGGAGCATAATCTCACTCTCAAGAAAACACCTCATAATCTCCGTAGAGTAAGACTTGAAGAGAGGATGGGGATGTTTAAACAAAAATGATCATATAATTTCACACTTGGCAAACGGACATCGGATTAGACATTCCTGGAAGAGGGGCATGTGTTTGGCTCATCCAGTGGCTTTTAATAGTGACTGGCATGTTGAAGGGCTGATTTGCTGTTGTGTGTGTGTGTGTGTACTATGTGTGTGGCTGCATGCCTCATGCAGCTTCCAGAAATAGAAAGCAGGGCAAATTGTGAGCATAAATGAGCGCCAACTGGGCCACACTAGCTTCAGTTTTCCAGATATTTATTTGTCATTAAAAGAACACACCACTTGATATTTGACAATGACTGCGGCAGCAAGTTTTTTTTTTTTTACCATAAGACAGGTAAAGGTTAAACGTGTTCAGCACCAGTTTCAACAGGTAAAAGCATGCGTTTTAGAGAGTATAGTGACAACAAAAAAGTCCATAACTCTCACTTTTAGCCATCATATTTGTATTTTTTATTTAATTAGAAATTCAGATGGCCTAACAAATAAGTCACACAGCTGTAAGTTGTTTGAATTACATGTCGATTGTGCTATTTTGACCCAGACATGTAGAGCTTTCACTAGTTGTCTTGTTGTTTGTATCAGATCAGATAATGTGGGATCATTTTTGGGGTTTTCTGTGGTCTAAAAGTTGTGAAAGAGCATTCACTGTTTGCCGTATTTAAACTACTGGAAGATTGTGGAGGTTCACTCCAGTATAAGTGGCAGCCGGTGTGTACATGTGTTCCCTCCTGGATTCACTAGCTGCCTTTACTGTAATCTCTTGGCGCCTGACCTCTTGATTCTTCGCTCTGATTAGCAAGCCAACATTTCCCGGGTGATGACGTCTGCAGCTACCAGTCTGTCCAACACATTTACAGACATAGCAATAGTGTGTGTTACAAATTCTGTCCCACATTTGCGTTTCTAATCGCACCTTTTAATCATGAATCGGATTGTCCACTTTATTTGTATTTAAATGTAAGGGCACATCTTGTCCCTGTGTTGATGTGTCTAGTTTATCTGAGCCAAGCAGCTCATCCAATTGTCAACAATACATCTGTTTTGGAAAGATAATGACTGGTTGGCATGGCTGCCAAGCTTCAGAAGATGCCATTTGGGAGATGGAGAGGCCAAATAAACTGCAGCAATGATGTATTTCCATAAACTGGACACAGGGGGGCGCTCCTGCACAAGCTACATGGTTTTGGTCAAGTCCATTTCTGTGTGCAACCCTTCAGCCGTACATTTTTCATAGCAGGCATGACTCTCATCTCACTGATAATGCTTCCAGCAACGGGCACGTACAGACACATTTATAGCTTAGCTCGTTGTCACACAGGTGTGTTGTGTGTGGTATGTGTGTATATTGACTTGTTGTCTTGTGTGTGTGTTGTTTTCTCCTGCTGCGGCCTGTCACGGCACTCACAGAGCAGTTAGTGTTGACCACCATTAGGCAGGAGGCTTCTGAACTGCAGGACCCAGGCGAGGGCGCCGGCGCTACCATGCGGTCCCGCCTCACAGACAGGTTTGACAAAAGTGAGTTTGCTCAAATTAGACTGGATGACGCCCCCCCCCCCCCCACCGTTTGTGTTCCGGAGTCCCACGGTGCATGTGGCCAATGCGTCAAAGCAAAGGCCAGGAGCCAGGTGTCCCCTGGCCCTCAAGAGCTACAAAGTCTGGTTCCCTACTAGACTAGAGTGTCTCTGGTTCTTGTCTGAAAAGGTTAAGACACCCTATTGCTGCTGTGGACTCTGTATAATCTGTAGCTCCTCGGGGCCTGGAGTGATGAACGCTGGACAGGAAGTAACCCCTTCACTGCATGTGCTTGTAGATAGCGGGGTCATGTCAGACCACGCTGATGAAGACGGATTGATATGCACCGGGACCCTGAAGCAAAACTTTTAATACAAACACGTGTGCATGCTGTAGAACACTGCACACGCATGTGTCGACATGGCATGCCTGAATACAGTATGTACATGAACACTGCTGCATGTGTGTATGACACATACGTGAGCTGGACTTAGAGAGGGAGTAGCAGCATGTTGGGGCCTTGCATGATTTCTGGCATTATAGATGTATGTTCATCTCTGTGTGAGAGTGCCCATAAAACAGTGTCTGTATGTATGTTTATATGCATACTTTAGTGTGCGTGCTGCAGTCTCATCTGTCGGATTATCAGGTTATGGATTAGCGGCAGGTGAAGTTGCAGAGCAGTCACAGAGGGGATTATCGTGCTCGTTCACTTGGCTCGTATAAGAGGCTTTCTTGCCGTACCTTCTACTCTTGTTACGGTGGAAAATGGACCCACTGGGGATGCTTTGGGGCTAGGTCCACCGGGACCTGCCAAATAGGGCCCGCGGGTCGCCTAGGAGACCAGGACAGCCATGGGACGTACGGTTCGCCACGGCAGACGGCACTCTGTTGGTAATGCTTTTCTCACCACATAGCAGGGTTGTGGGCTGGACAAGAAATCATGTGGGGGAAGATATTTAATCTTTGCAAATTGAATTGATGTTATTGGAATAAGTGAGGCGGTTATGGATCAGTGTTTAGCTCAAGAACACGTTGACGGGGCATATGGCTGTTGGAGGATTAAAAGCTGAGACCAGAACCCACCGGCTAAGGGTCTGATGATGTGTTAGCCTCTGGGGGCAACGGCCGTTATTTCTGGGGTTGTCGTGTAGGCAGCGCACAACGGATAACCGGACCAAGAGGTCACCGTTTACAGCAATTCTAGACCCGAGGATGACGTTCAAAGGAGTTGGAAGAGGACGTATACGACTGGATTGTTACCATTTGACACTCGGTAAATGGTTCAAAATCATGGTCAGACGGTAGCTGATGGGTTCTGAGATTGCATTTTGGCCTCTATGAATTCTGCCAATGCGTTCCACCTCTTCTTTTGCTCTCCACAGAAACCGTGTGCAACAAAAGCCTGCTCACACGTGATCGGTCAATACTCCTCGGACTACAAACGGAAACCAGAACGGCTCCGATACCGATATCTTGTTTTGTTGCCTTCCGATTCTGCACTCGTATACAGATGTCTGTTTAAATAGAGATCAGTTTGGGGCAATGACTGCAAAAACATTGCAGCTGCGTTGCAAGGTGAGGGGAAAAAGAAAACGCGCTGGGATCAAATATGCACGTTATATGCTACATACTCTGATTTTCTGTGCACGTTCAGCTGCTCAATTGCATTTCGAATGTTTTGACAGAGTATCTGTCCTCAGTGTGGCTTGTGGGGGTTGGAGTGCTTCGACAGCTGCGGATAATTGTAGCTATTCCAGCATAACTGCTATTATGATTAGTAGCTATTATCTCTCTGGCTCATTTCAGCTCTGGGTGTTTGGAAGATGTTAAGTTTATGATTGAATTAAACATGCGTGCATCTATAAAAGCTCTCTTTGTGCCATTTAAAACACAATTCTGGCCGCCGCGCTAAATGGGTGGAGACTGGGACGCAGCACCAAGGCACAGCATCTGGTGAAATATGCTCTGCCATACTGGAAAATGTAGATGAATTATGCAGCTGTCTCCAATACATAATTCAGTAGCCGAGTCTGCTTTTTTTTTTTTTTTTTTTTTAACAGTGAAACTTTGGCCTTGGGCCAGGGCAGCTTGGAAAAAACACAAAACACAAAGTTATTACTTTGCATATTAAGATTTATGAAGCGTGGATTAGGGACATTGTCTGAGAACGACGTGCGCGATGGATTTAAATGTCTGCATTTCCCGTGTTCTGCTTCCTGGAACAGGTGATTGTAATCTGCCCGTTGTGAAACGTGCGTCTGCTTTAATAGACTTCTAATGACACAGGTATTTGTGTGAGAGAGATAGTAAAAGGGCTTTTAAGCTTCTAATGGACGGAAGGGTGGTTAATTAATGCCTAGGATTGTTTTTAAGAAAGAGGACACCAACCAAATGGGTAGCTGGGAGTGTTTTGCTCGCAGGGCGTGAGATCAGAGAGTTTGTTGAGGCCGGATCAGACTTACCTGTTATCAGACCTATCGTACCTGTCCGGCTACAGCCTTCCCCGCCTCATGTGAAATGGACCTGGCCGTGCTCTGCCGGGGCTTTACTGCTGACTCATCCGCGGTGCATCAATAATGAGTTAAGCAGGTGACTACGCCTCTAATCCATCAGAGACGAGTAACCGAGGCATTGATCTTATTAGAAATGAATCGGCGCAGAAGTGGGCTGCTGAGAAAGCCGTTATTGATCTGCTCGGAAAGATGGAGTCTGGAGGGGTTAAAATGTGGAGGTAAAGGGGGGGGGTGAGGGGTACAGTAGACAGACAGAGAATGGAAAACATGACATGACAAGTATACAGTGTGCAGCGCCCTTCAGTACTCTGCACCTCGTGTCATCCTGAATCATTTCCTTACAGTCTCTCGCTATCTTGATTGACCCCAGTGACATTTGCAGTGGAGTTCTGTGATTGTGAGTTATGGCTCTGTTAGGTCCAGAGGTAATGGCCTCATCAGAGATATGTGATATATGAGAGATGAGGGATAGGCTGCTGATTATCATTTTGCTTGGACAGACTTTGACCTTTGCTCTCGGCCTTGTTCAGACACTTTGTGGTTTGGTACGGCACGATACTGAGATTGGAGATTTTAACAGGGATTACGCTCTTAAAGCAGGTCTCAAGCAGGTTTCTTTTGCAATGGCAGAATGCCAACTACAATAAAAAACTGAAAGTGTACCTCTAATAAATGCAAAAAACAAGGAAACGTTTAAATAGCTAAAGTTGCACTCAAACAGTGTGTGATTATAGCCGTTTCCTGGAAACACAAACAAGTTAATGTGTCTTTTAATGGAAAAGTGGAAGTCTGATGTGTCAGCAGTGATAATAGTGCATCCTGGCTGGCTTTCGTCTGGGTCGTTTTATAATTCCTCGCCTTCTTTAAAACAAAAGCTTGAGTGGAACATAATGATATTTTGGTTATCGATGAGCAGGGAGACTGACCCGTCTGCTGTAGGATTGTGGTGCTGCAGAAATAAGAGTTTCAGGACGGTGGAAATTCAATCTGCTAAACCCTGCCAGTGTTTATTCGTTTCTAATTTATTTATGCAATTAGACCATTGTTGTTTTAACTTACAGCCTCAGTCACAGACAAACACACGCAATGCACAGATCCCAAGAAATGAACCGAACCATCCCAAAAGGGAATTACAATAAACCCAAAATACAGCTCATCATATTAACAATTGAGCACTACAGGCACACTTAAAATAGTATTATCGGAATACTGAGAGGATTTTGTGAATCACTTACCTGGCTTTACAGATAAATGCACTCCAGATAACATTCTATATTTCATTACTGGAGATGAAACATAAACTATCTGCCTCTATGCAAACTACTGAGAAGGATATGAGGAGCAGAAACCTGTGGTGGGTGAACACTGGTGTTGCACAGGCATCGCAGTGAAGTGATCTCCTGATGGATGGTTCCTGCTTCAGGGATGTCATCTGACCCCTCTGTCTGACCACCAGACCGCGAGGCGATATCGGGCTTCTGGCCCTTTAAAAGCGGAGCGGCCGGCTTTGCACCTCCGCAGCGCCGAAGGAGCTCCATATGGCTTCTCCCTTGTCTGTGGTGAGCCGCTCAGCATCAAATTAAAAAGGGAGGAGATCGCTCGAATCGCGCCCGGTACGGACTTTTCCGAGGCGGCAGGAAGGCCAGGTGACACGGTTGCCGAGCTTGGCGGGCCAGTATCTTTCACCGGGTCCGGGAGCTTCTTCCTCAGCGAGGCCGACCAAGGAGAGAGGAGGCACGAGCTTGCCGCTGCGTCTGTCCTCGCCCAGGTTCGCCGTTGTTGTACCAGCTGAGTAAATTGTGGCGTCCAGACCTATTTGCATTGCTCTCGCTGCCCCCACAATGCCCCCCCTCCGCAGAAGGCTATACATATTATCCCGTCATTAGGCGCACTCGAGGATGAAGTACGTCCCGCTCCGGGAGCTCAATGCGTGGGGGCGAATGAGCGGAGATCACGACGCGTTAAAAATGGTCGGAGATGACAAAGCCAGGCGGGCAGGGAGGCAGGGAGTCTGCAGAAGAAGCGTGTTGCATCCTCTTCTGTCACTTTTTGGTTTTTTTTGGGGGGGGGGGAGGGGAGGGGCAATTTGTGCCTTTTGCTTAATAACAACCACGATGCGCGCCCGGTGTCCTGTGTGTGTTACATGTGGACAAGTTGACGCGCTGATAAAACAGACTAACTCTGCGTGTGTTTGTTCGCCATTGTGCATCCCTCAGCACATCCATTATACGCGGGGGGTCCCGTGGGCGTCGCGAAACGAGCGCGTGTGCATTGACGGTTCCTGCATAATAATACTGAAAGACAAGGGGGGGGGCGGGCGGGTTATAACGGGAAACGTCATTCAATCGACCACGCCGGGCTTCAGCACACATCAGCATACAGTAGCCTCTAGTACTAATAGGTCGCCTTCGCTTTTGAACCGTAAACCACGTCTCCCGTCTATGTCTCTGTCTCTCTCCCTCTCTCTGTCTCTCTCTTTCGCTTTCTCTCCCCCTCGCTGTCTCTGTCTCACTGCCTCGCACTCACTCAGCCTCGCCTCTCTCTCATCAATCCAACGGTGCAGGACCTGCTTGCTCGTCCGGCGGTTACCGCAAGGCAGATGATGAGATGTCCGGGACCACTTCCCAGGCGGATCCCGTAGACGCCACCGCGCGGACGGTGCTGCTCAACCGGCCACAGATCACCAAGTTCTGCGACAACCACGTCAGGTAGGTGTCACTGAGCTTCTACCGACTTGCACGTTTCGCTGTGATGCATGTTGTGTAGCTTGAGTGTACTCTGACAAATAGTGGCTCACTTATCATGATCATAAATGATTTATTTGTTTCCCAAAAGTTTTAATCGGAGCTTAATAAACCACCACAAAGTATAGATATCACCAGACTTCTGAAACCTCTGGTTACTCACCTGATGTTTTGTGTGTATTCAAACCGTGATAAGCTCATCTTGACTATATTTACTTAAATACAAGTTGTTTGCCTGACTGGGGTCAGAGGGCATGGTCAGCTCTTGGGGTTCTGTGTCTTGCTAAAGGGCACTCATTGTAGATATTTACTTTAGAGCGGCTTTAAACCCATTCTTTCAGGTTGAAGGACAACCTGTTACGGCCTGTTTGTATGTTTTTCTTCCCATGCCATGTATGACAAGTAGACTTTGGACCAAGTAGAATTCTTTTTTTTTTTTTTTAATCTCTCTCCTAAACAATTCTTTCTTTTAGTTTAGCCTAAAATCACAGTAACCAAAACGTTTAGTTCTACAATTACTACAATTTTGCAGGTGAAACTATTGATAAGACTCTTTTAATAACTCACCTATTAAGTTGCAACTCTGCAGCTGAGGCTGACCTGAATCTCACTGGAAAGTGCTTTGCTTAACAACTTAACATTATGTTACTGAGTCAATATTTCCTCAGGAGTAGTGAATATTTAAGGATGCCAATGAAAGCGCCTTAATTTTGTCTGATTTCTCAGACCCTGGAGGTGTCATTTTTGTTGTCATGACTTTCTGTACTTTGACGTGGACTACAAATCTTGGACCAGAGTGTGATTGTATTGATGCTTGTATGTGTAGTGATATGTCAAAGGCTCTCTTTTATAAGCATCATCCCAGCTGTCCTCTGCATATTTAATGGGTACAGCTGTGGTCGTAAATACAAATTAGCAGTCAGGCAAACTGTATTAGAGTTTGAATTAGACAGACAAAAATGTAATTTATACCTTGTCATTACCTTGTTATTAATTCTATTTGTATGTACTAACTGTGCCTGGCGCCATGCGGAGCACTGGGCTCATGTTCTGTGAGTTGTCGTTGGTCGGCTGACATTCGGTGGTCTGCCATTACTGTCAGGAGATTTAATTTCACTTTTGAAAGAGCCTTTTTCAGCTCCACGAAAAAGATTAACGCAAGTGTTCCCCGGCTCATCTGATTGGATCACATGTGGTGTCCTGCCCATCGCTGCATGCTGATTGGAGAATAAAGAGCACTCTGATGTCTCTGTGTTCCTGTAACTCTTTAGTTTATGTTTGAAAGGTTCAATAGCCCTTATTGATTTTTCTTAGATTGAAGCCGTGCAGCTTTTATCTGGACACTCAACTCACCTTCTCTCTGTTCCCTATGTCCTCTACATCCATATTTCATTGTGTGCAGTTGTGTTTATGCAAACTAAGCATTAGTGCTGCTCAGCAAAGTAACCTGCTCTATTATTCTAAGGAAAATACATAAAATGATAATGTAAAGTAGACCATGTTTAACTGAATCACACATAAGAACTGACAAATATTTTACAAACGCTTGTATTTTAAACAAATCTACCTGCCTGAGCTTAGAGGGATGACTTGTCTTTGAGCTCAGCCCAGTGTTTCCCTATAACATATGAAGAACACTGACCTTTTCTTTTTTATAAAATAAAAAACATGACAAAGCCACACAGCTGCAGAAGAGCATCACCCCTGCAGCTAACAGCTGCTAACACCACCAGCGTGAAAAACTATGAATCTGCCTAGTATAATAGAAGTGTGTGTGTGTGTGTGTGTGTGTGTGTGTATAGAGTCCGATGTAATTTATCTTTAATTAGATTAAGGCAGCTTTATCTGCTGGATCATAGGTGTAGTATCACTAACTCTGGGGTTTCAGAGCATCAGGGTCAGGACACCGAGTGTGTGGGTGCGTGCGACAGACTAACAGCTGTTGCAGCTCTGCTTTGTGTGTAATGTCCTGCTCTTTGTAGTTTTGTGTCTGTGTGAGTGAGGCAGATGGAAAAAGCGGTCACGGGTTCATCTCCTAGGAGACTGAACTGTGATGGAGGGGTGCATGCACTTGATACATGCACACACACACACACACACACACACTCTATCCATTAAATAAGGACCATCGCAGAAGCTCTAACTTTTCACTCAGGCCACACAGGAAAAAAACAAAGCAGGCCTTGACTTGAAGGTTGACTTTTTTATTTTTAACTCCTCTAAAAGCTCTTACGGAAGCTTCCTGGCTGTAACCAGGCTAATCAATGCAGTTGACTGACAGACAAGTTGAGGTCGCCAAGGTTTCTTGCACTTATTTTATGGAGTGCTGGGTCTTTTTTTAGATTGCTGGATTTAAAGTATTGGTCTATTTAAAGGTGTGATGTGTGTGCACCCGCTAATGGCTCTGTTTGCCCTCTCTGGTCACAATTTAGGTTTTTTTTAAATAGATTTTCAAGTGCTGCAACACTAAAACATAAATAGAGTCGGTTATTCAACCTTTTAAGGTTAAAAAAAATCATTGGCACACAATTTATGCATGAATTCCTTCTTTTGCTAATGCGATAGCTGGCTCTCTGCCTCCATCTGTCTGAATGTAAACGTGTTAAATCTCCTTCGTCCTTGTCTTCTTCTGCAGTACGACCAAGTATGGGATTCTCACCTTCCTACCCCGGTTCTTGTACGAGCAGATCAGGCGGGCCGCCAACGCCTTCTTCCTGTTCATCGCACTCATGCAGGTAAACTCCACGCGCGACACGGTAGAGACCGTGATCTGCGCTGTCTGTGGCCCACACGGGCTTCAGAAGACTAATCCTGAGGAGTTTGTGATAAACATCCCAGCATTTCCCACAGGCCCAGTTATTTTTAAAATACTGAGTTATGGATGATCGAGAGTTGTTTTCTAGATGGCAAAAGTTAAGATTTGGTAGATTTCCACAGAAAGCCAGAAGGAGCAGAATAACAGATTAAATGAGTATAATGATTGTTTCCTATCACAACTTTTAGACCGTTTCTAAACTGAAAGAACAAATTAGATCATAGAAGCTGATCACTTATCCCGCTTTGTCGTCACTACCTGATCGGTTTAGAGTGATACACTCACTGTACTCCACGGCCTTGTCTAATGTGTTTCTGTGCCATCAATGTAGTGGTGCATTATGGGGGCTTTGAGCTACTCACTATGAGCAATGATTTCTGATATCTGCCGCTCTTGACTCTCTGACCAGCAAATCCCTGATGTATCACCGACCGGTCGCTACACCACTCTGGTCCCACTCATCTTCATCCTCACGGTGGCCGGTATCAAAGAGATCATAGAGGACTATGTGAGTACCACAGCACCACTTAGTAGAAGTTACTACTTATCTTAAATTACAGGAGAGAAGAACATGATATTCCTATCTTAAAAGCTAACACTTCTTTATCCGTCTTGACAGAAAAGACACAAAGCAGACAACACCGTAAACAACAAGAAGACAACAGGTATCGTCTGTGCTTGTTAATGTGCATCGACTGTCTGTGCGCTTTTCCACGAGTGTGCTTGCGTCTATTTGTGTGGGTTTTGTTTTCCTTTCATGGCTGAGTGAGTGGCTGTTGTCTGTCTGTCACTCACTATAGTGCAGGCCCCAGACAAAAAGTTTAGTCCCCATGAATACTGTATGAGTGTCGCTCTATAGGTTGACTGATGGCCGTGTTGTCCTTGTCTCTCAGTGCTGCGGAGCGGAGCCTGGCAGACGATCATATGGAAACAGGTACCGGGATCATCACACACATCATCTTTGTTGCCCTCTCACTCATCACTCCCGCGCTTTAGCCTTCCTCTCTACCGCCTCACTTTTTACAGTTCAGTTTGAACGTACTTCATTGGCATGAATGACATCAAATAATACTGTAAGAAGAAGTGCCAGCTTAAAAGATACATTTCTTTTCAAAATGGAGAAAAAACAGTATGTAATTTAGCAAATGAAACAAAATCAGTTAAAGCTAAAGCATTCAAATAACGTAGGCATGAAATGCTGCAAAATAACGGTATAGTTTTGTCGGGGATTAACATTTTCAATTTCTTTGCTTATTTTATTATTAAATGGTTCCATTTGTCTCCGGAGCTACACTTCTGTCTCAGTCTCACCTGTGTAATTCCTCCTCTTTTGGTTTCCATGCAGGATTTCTTGTGTTGCACTTCTTGTTTACTCACTCAGTCTGTTTGTTGAGGATCTGTCTGTGCTGTGAATCCCTGACAGTAAATACACAATACACTCCACATAGGAAGGTCTTGTTAGTTTAATAATAAAGCACTTCATCAGGACCAGTTAGTCTCATGTCATTTCCACATAAAGCTTTTTCTTTTTCTCTGCCAAGTTGAAGTTACCTGAGCAAAATTAACTCTTGGTTTTTTCACAGTACAACACATTTTCACTGTATGTTCTTATGTTCTTGCATAACTATTGACTGGAACTGTGTTCTTCTTCTTGAATGTACTCATTAGCTGAGTCCAGCTGTGTACAGCCGTGCTCCAGTGGGTCAAATCAAATCAAACTTGAGTCTTTGTAGAGAAGGAATGCAGCCCCCTTGTTATTCAAGGTCAGAAAAGGGGAAGGAATTTGTTCCAGCTGCCCCGCTTATTCAATAACGTCTCCATTAAACAAAGGTGGTTACAAGTAGTTTCCCAGAACGCTCCCTTTTGTTGAGAGGAGAACTCGGTTATAAGTGCCGCAGGAATATTTCCCAGTTTTTGAAAATTGATTTTTTTTTTCAAAAACACTTTTGTCAGGCTAATATTGAATGGCTTCTTTTTTCTCTTCTCCTTTGTCTCTACATTCTTGCAGTCTTTGAGTCTTAGTCTGGTCTGCCTCTGTTGCAGCCTAATCCCAAAAGTTCAAAAGCTCTGCACTGCTGTGCTCACTGTCTCTTTATCTCAAGTCTTCCTCTCTTTCTATTTGCCGCCTCTGGATTGGTCACTTATTAACCTGCCTCTTGTTTCCTCTGTTTGTCTCCCTCCTTTATGCCCTCCCATTGCCCCTCACCCTCTTCTGCCTAACACCCCTCTTTCTCTTTCTCCCCACCTTTTTTCTCTCTCCTGCTGTTGCACTGCTGCGTTCCGGCCACCAGGTGGCAGTAGGCGACATAGTGAAGGTGACCAATGGCCAGCACCTTCCAGCTGACATGGTTATTGTGTCCTCCAGGTCAGACCTCAGTGTGTATGCGTGTGCGTGTGTTTGTGTGTGAGCACACATATGCCTTTGTGTGTATTTATCTGTTAATCTATTTGTTCTAATTGTTTGTTGCGTGTTAAACTACTCTTTAGGGCGGCAACTTATGATGCATTTTCATTATCAATCAATTTGTTTGATAAATCGTTTAGTATGTAAAATGTACTGATTAATTCCAATGATTGAATTGATTATTTGACAAAATGCTCATTGACTGATTTCCCGTTGATTGATGGATTAATCATTTTAAGCACCACCATTTTTGTTGACGCCTCTTCTCTACAGCGAGCCGCAGGCCATGTGTTACACTGAGACCTCCAACCTGGATGGAGAAACCAACCTGAAGATCAGACAGGTGAGACAGAGAAGCACTTGGTCAGTGAGGAATTTCTCCCCCAATTTAGCTTTTAGTAGAAAGTATGTGTTTTTTATATATTTGTTACAGTTAGGATGCAAATTAATAAAAGATGTTGAAAAATGTTGCCATTGGCTTTCGCGGCTTGATGAAGTTCTCCTGTTTTTTATTAGTGTTAGACCTGTTTTATCTCATGAACTTTGCTTTTCAGTAATGAGAATTATACTTTGTGATAATCCTGACTTGTCATATTTCATTTTCTCCAGGGTCTCACGCTCACAGCTGCTTTTCAGACTCTGGAGGATTTGATTGCGCTGTCTGGTCGTTTGGAGTGTGAAGAACCCAACAGACACCTGTATGACTTCACTGGCACTCTGCGGCTGGAGAACCAGAAGTGAGACACACACATAGACAACAAGTGTATTGTCAGTGTTAAATGCTACATTTTGTTGTTGAAGTTAGTAGTATTCAAATAGTATCTTTGTATAAAATAAGACAACAGGATACAACACCCATCCTGTTGACAGCAATTTCCTTCTGAATGCATCAAACAAAACTGCAGGTTGAACCAAAAGTTGTATTAATCTCTCATGTTGTGTTTGTTCCTTGCTCTTCTCAGTCCAGCTCCTCTGGGTCCAGACCAGGTGTTGCTGCGCGGCGCCCAGCTCAGAAACACGCAGTGGGTTGTGGGAATTGTTGTCTACACTGGCCATGACTCCAAACTGATGCAGGTAAACCCAGCGTCTTAATAAATTGCAATAAATTGTGTATAATGCTTGAAAAATCCTGGCTTCAAAACAAAATTCATTAGATATTTTTAATAATTATTTTCCCTCTTAGTGAACTTAACAGGAATAATTCAGAGCTTTAGCTGCTGCAAGCGGACTTCTTCCCAGTGAAACTATTGCAACTCAATGAAACTGTGCCATCGTCCAGCATGGTCTTGATGCGAGTGTCTCTGTGTTGTATTCATTGACCCGTCCACCCGCCAGAACTCCACCAAGGCACCGCTGAAGCGCTCTAATGTGGAGCGGGTGACCAACATGCAGATCCTGGTCTTGTTTGGCATCCTGCTGGTCATGGCCCTGATCAGCTCTGTGGGCGCCGCCATTTGGAACGACAAACACACTGAAGATTCCTGCTGGTACCTGTCCAGGGCTGGTGAGAACACACACACACACACACATACTGCATTTCACAACCAGTAACTTAAGTCTCCTAACGGCAATGAGGTGGCATTAACACGCATTTTAAGGGTCCGTGAATAAGTGATGATTGTGCGTTTGTGTAGGTGACATCTCCACTAACTTTGCGTATAACCTGCTGACGTTCATCATCCTGTACAACAACCTGATCCCCATCAGCCTGCTGGTCACTCTGGAGGTGGTCAAGTTCACACAGGCCCTCTTCATCAACTGGGTACGGCCCATGTGTGTGTGTGTGTGTGTGTGCGTGTGTATGTGTGTTGTAACACATGTTTTCCAATTAACTTACTCTAAGTAGTCAAATATTTCTGATCCCTTTTGCTTTTGCTGTGTTTTTCCCCCTTCAGGACATGGAGATGTACTACGCAGAGACAGACACGCCGGCCATGGCTCGAACGTCCAATCTTAATGAGGAGCTGGGTCAGGTCAGTTCCTCCCCCTCCTCTTAATCAGTGGCTTCAGGTTGGGAAGTAGGCCCCGGGTTACCATGACATACACACTCAATCAATACACACCTGTTAAATGTGCTGCGTTTTGCTTACATTATTTCCTCTTCTCCAGGTGAAGTATCTCTTTTCAGACAAGACCGGAACCCTAACCTGTAACATCATGACCTTCAAGAAGTGTACTATTGCGGGAATTACATATGGGTCAGTCATCTCTCTTCTTTTTTTTTTTTTTTTGTAAATGAATTCTTTCCTCTTAGCTCTGCCTGTCAAAGGAGCCATCTTCTAAAATATAATGAACTCTGCCTCTAAATGCGCTTTAGTAGTAACCTTTTAATCACTAAATATGAAACTAATTCATGCCTTCGACTTTCTTGTCATACTCTTCTGTTATTATTTCAACTGACTGAACTCTTACATGCTTCAACAAATGAACTAACCAATCATCAACTGATTGGTTCCTCATTAATCACTGCAGCCACTTCCCTGATCTCGAGTGTGATCGTTCAATGGATGACTTCAGGTCAGTGACCGTCTCATCCGTCTTCCCCTCTCTGATATGCTTTTCTCCATTTTAGGCTGAGCACGTTTAAAGAAATGAATGATCAGAATAATACACAAAAAGTTGACAATAACTTATTTCAGCCTGTTATGCTATATGAATGGCGTTTTTTCTAGACAATATTAGATGAACTCGTGCCATAAATCTGTATTTCTTGTCTTCACAGCAATCTGCCGTCCAGCAGCAACAACTCTACAGAGTTTGACGACCCAACTCTCGTCCAAAACATCGAGACCCATGTAGGTGTCTCTGAAGCGATTCTCATCTTTCTTTATCTGAAGCAAACCTATTCAGCCCCAAAAATGACGTCCACTCCATTTGTATGCATGTGTTCAGCCTACGTCACCTCAGATCTGTGAGTTCCTGACAATGATGGCCGTGTGCCACACGGTGGTCCCAGAGCGAGAGGACAACCAGATCATATACCAGGCCTCTTCTCCAGATGAGGGCGCGCTGGTCAAAGGGGCCAAAGGGCTCGGTTTTGTCTTCACTGCAAGAACCCCGCATTCAGTCATACTTGAAGCTGTAAGTGTGTATCTGCCTGTTTTACTGCAGGAATCGCTGCTTTAAAGCAAAGTTAACGTTTTGTTCTTTGTTTCAGAGAGGAAAAGAGATGAGCTATGAGATACTAAATGTGCTGGAGTTTTCCAGGTAGGCTAATACTCCCCATAAATGTTCTTCTCAGGCAGTAAATAACTGTGTCATACAAAACTAGTGTGTTTTTGAAACTGAGACACTGTTTCCTTCACAGTAACCGCAAACGCATGTCTGTGGTGGTCAGAACCCCCAACGGGAAGCTACGGCTGTACTGCAAAGGAGCTGTATGTGTATCTCATTATGACTGTGATTCAGCCCTGCTAATGTCCTTTTAACATGTTTTCAATAATGCTTATTTTGTTGTTTTGCAGGATAATGTAATCTTTGAGCGTCTGACTGAGGCGTCCCAGTACAAAGAATTAACTATTGCTCATCTGGAACAGTTTGCTACTGAAGGTAAGAGAGAAAGAAGAGGGAGGGAGGGGAAGCCAGAGTTGAGTTTCTCTCTGTTTAAAAGATGCTTGTTTGTTTCACTGGTGACATTGCTTGATCCCACCTCAGAGCCATCTTTCCTACGTTTCCTCCATCCACTCGCTCCCAGTTAGAAGCATAATCTGTTCTCCGTGATCTCACTGATTGATCGTCTTATCCTCCTCCCATCCGTCCAGGACTGAGGACTCTGTGTTTTGCCTATGTGGACCTGGAGGAGGACGCCTACCAGGAGTGGCTAAAGGAATACAATCGCATCAGCACTGTGCTCAAAGACCGCGCTCAGAAACTAGAGGAGTGTTATGAACTACTGGAAAAGGTAAACACACCAACAGTAGACATCACTACAGAAAATGAGATGGTGTCCAACCTTCTCTGAGATGTCTTGAAATCAAAGCAGAGAGCTGAACATTCTTCATGTCGTGAAATTCTTCCTGACTCATACTCCTACAAACACACGCTGCATATTGGCCAGCAGGTGGCAGAGTGGCTCCATTGATTCCCACACTGCAGTAAACACAACGTCCTTCATTACTCATCATGTTTTTAAGTTGCGATACACAATTTAGCAGAATGTAAAGACAGATACTGCTCCTTCCTAAAGGGATGGGCGTTGTGGACGTCTTGTGTTGGTCATAAAAGATGTCACTAATTGGAGAATAACAAAGTAACTTCGGATGAGAGCATATTCACACGAGAGTTGAACTAATATGTGGGCAAACCAAGGATTTAGAGTGGAGAGTCAAGGTGGGAAGTAAGTGAAGAGGAAGCAGTTGCAGGAGGAGGGGAGCTCAGACTGGGAGACCACAAGGGTAATTACCTTCACCAGTGTGCCAAAAGCCCCATAAACTGGAGTCAACAACACAGTAGTGTTAACTTGTGTGTTTGTGTGTGCGTCTGAGTGCGTCTAATGAGGGTACACATGCATTTAAATGCTGAACAAATTAAAGCCAGAGGGGGGAGGTAATGGGTTACTTTTTGGCACGAAGACACAGAGTTGGTATATAGAGGTCTAAAATGAGCTGCTGAACTTGCTGGCATCGTTGTCATCCTCTAGCTAGATATGGATGATGAGAGAAAGAGCCCTCACATACAGTCTGGGGATGTTGCCTACATATCATTTATTTTAACCTACTTTCCTCTTTCGCCATATTTTGTTCTCATAATCTTGTGTTCCGCCAACAGAACTTACTTCTGTTGGGCGCCACGGCCATAGAGGACCGCCTGCAGGCCGGCGTGCCAGAGACCATCGCCACTCTGATGAAGGCCGACATCAAGATCTGGGTCCTGACCGGAGACAAGCAGGAGACTGCCATCAACATAGGTGAGAGGGAAGCCTTTAAACTACACACTGGACAAAATGTGGGTTAAAGTCACAGGAGGGAGAGTTCTGTCCCCAAGCGGCTGTGGGAGGGCTTTCAGTGGAGTACGTGCCAGTGATGGAGGCAAATCCAGCGATGGTGTGGAAGTCCCCTTGTCTCTGCAGCTTATTGAATAACTGTTTGAAGAATATTTGGCATTATGTGTGCCATGAAATGCCAGACAATTAAGCGAAATGTGCCAGTGGTACGCAGGGCAGAAGGGACTTAAAGTTGCACAGGAAGTTTGTGGCAGATGTCCACAAAAACAACACATACAAATAACTTTAGTTTAAAAGTTTGGACACTCTCTGAGACTGTACTGTGCCAATTGTATTTCTTTTTCACACACCTTTATATGATTGACCAGCTCTATATGCCAGTAGCAGTATTCAGAATAATTGTTTTGCTGTGTTTTAATTGGTGCATGATGTAATTGAACTATGCATAACAGACTACAATAGAGATACGATGATGGCCAGAGGCTGATGGAGGAGAATGGAGTCGGATAGCTGTGTGAGAGAATGGAGCAGGATTTCGCAAATCAAGTTTTTCACTTGTGTTTTGGGTTTGAGTAAATCTAATCTCTCCCCCATCCCCCATTCTCTGCCTTCCACTATCTGTCTCTCAGGTTACTCCTGTCGTCTGGTGACACACGGCATGTCCCTCGTCATTGTCAACGAGGACTCTCTGGATGTGAGTAGACCCTCCTCTTCCTCCTGCCGACCTCGTTGATTCACGTCTGTGTACACTATGTACGGTGTGTGTGTGTGTGTGTGTGTGTAAAGGAGGGAGGGGGTGAAGTGGTGGGGTCTTAAGCAGGTTACTGTGGGAACTAGGGTGTGGTCCACAGCCAGATTGGTGGGTGGGGCTCTTTGTGTGTACTCACAGGTGCAGGTAATTAAAGTCTCTGGTGTCCCTTTGGCGAAAGGGATGAAAAGAGACGCGTCGTGAACTATCACTTCTTTCCCTCTCTCTCTGTATGCCCCTCTCCTTCTGTCTCTTGCACATCATTCACATACAGAACCTGGCTTTTTTTAACGATCACGCGGTATTCTCACACTATTTGTGTCTCTTTATCTGACCTATTTCTAGCTAAAAGCCAGACTGTACGTGTGTTATGTTCCTGTGGCTAATTAGAGTGAGCTCTGAGATCTCTAAATTCGATTTCTACCCTCGTTATGTGTTCTTTGCATTCGGGTTTCATGTGTGTCTGCTTAACGTAAGTGGCTTGATTACTGTCATGTGTCTTTGTGTCTGTCTCTCTTTCACACACTTTCGGACTCCATGTGTGCTTACACACACACACACACACACTCCCCGTGTGTTCACTTTTATAGAGTTTGTTTATATGTGAGACGGGGGGAGATTATGCCTCCATAAAGTTAAGCGCCGGAACTGTGTGTGTGTGCGCCTTTGTGTGTGAGGGCTTGTTGGCCCAAAGAGGGATTTTATTGGTCTATAGCATGATCAACACAGCATTAGAGACCTCTATGGGGTTAACATTGCATCCAATAGGAATCCTGTGTGGAAGATTTTAATGTTGGTCATCATTTAAAATGTAATTGCACAACTTCACACCTATAATACTTTTCCTTCCTGTATTATGCCAACTTCTAGTGAAGGAAATAGTTGTGATGTTACATAAACATGCATCAAAGTGGCGTCCGGCTGGTCAGAAGCCAGACGGCGTGCACGGCTGCGTAAGACGCTGAGTAAGCTGAGCTGGACGGGGTGAACATTTCATGTCAGGTTAATTCAGGTACTTCACCCTGAGAATTATATGTGATTAGCACAAGAGGGAGAAAGCTAATAGAGTATAAGTGGATCATTCTTAACACGGTTTGGAAGGTTTTGTTGCTGCTCTGTCCTCCGTGTTTTATCACCGGGGTTCCCAAGGTCATACAATTCCTGGAAAGGTTATGACATTATAAAAATGATCGGAATACACATTGTTTTGGCTAAAACCCTGTATCGCATACTGTACTGTTCCAGTAAACAGTTCCACGTCTGATTGCTGTCGGGTCAACATAGTCTGGGTTGGAGGATGAAACATTTGGTTCTAACAGGTGATCACATTAAACAAGTTGTTTCTTTCATTTTCTTGCCCTGCCGTTATTGCTTATACATATTTGAAATTCTTGTGTATAAGCTTTAATTGCCGATCTTCTTTGGGGAATTCTTCTCCAGAGATTGCACATAGACTTAGTTAGATCCAATGGCACATAAGACAAGAGGTTTTTGTTTCATGACATAAAGTCTGAGCACCAAGACGTTAGAAAAGAGAACTTTCTAAACCCTTTCATTAGAAATATTTTCAAGAAATATTTTCAAGCCCCCAAAAATAAATTCTTCTACAGCTTGTAATGAGGCAGGATGTCCTGTAGCAAAGAAGGATTTAGGCTTTCACTGAGAGAAGTGCTGCTGCCTAAAGATTAGACTTCCAGTATAAACAAAAAACACCGGTGGGAATGATGAGTGAAGTGGCTGACCTGATCAAGTTAAAATTTCTAGAAATTACTCAGGAAAAAGTCCCATAAAAGCTGTTTCTCTGATAATGAAGTGACTGACTTGACTTAACGCTTACTATGACGAGAACTATTCCTAACCCGAACCTCAGGCTTTTCACTCCGAGGGGTTCTTTTGTAAAATAGTCGTACAGACACATTTCTATACGGCACAGAGAGACAGCTGGTCGACATGAAACATAAACCATGGGTCATGAGTGGAATTCTTCATGTGACGAGTTCATGATCCACACAGTATGCGTCACAGCCTGCTGCATTTTGTAGCACACTTTCAAGTGGCTGCAACACATCAAGCATGAGACGGAATAAACCACATGACGAACTGCTGGAACAAAATTCAATTACATTCACATCCCCCTTAGACACAAAATGCTCTAATGGCGTCACAGGAGATAAGGATGTAAGAGAAGGGACATTCTCTCACGTATGGATGTGGCATACTTGTGTCACAGTCATGCCCGTCAATCAGGACAAACTTCAGAGCGCTCTGGCTGTGACCGGTGAAAAGCACCGCTGTCTTCAGTGCATCACTTATCTCACACTTAAAATAGCTCGCGTCGGCTCAAGCTTCTTTGTGCTTGTCGGCCTCTTTTTGTAATTGTGACATTCCGCACGTGAGCGAAAACAGAAGCCGCTTATCAAATTCTCACCCCCGAGGTTGACCTCCTCGCCCCGTTTAAAAGAATCTGTCCCAAATCTCTTCACTCTCTATCGCACCCTTTTATCAGCGTGAAGGCTGATCTGTGTGGTGGATCTTGCGTTTGCCAGTCTGAACAGCAGATGCCCCCCCCCCTACCCACGCTCCATGTTTCCTTCACACTACTACCTCCACATCTGTCAGCACCCTCTCTACGCATCGGAAGCGACAACATAGGAAAAATGAGTGTGTGTGTTTAGAGGGAGAGTCGGAGGAAGAGCATGAACAAGCAGCAAAATATGCGTGTTTGTCTTCGTGGAAGCGCAGGAGTGTGTTTGTGCAATAAAGCAGGGGAGTGTATATTGTACTTCATGTATGAGATGGACAATCTGGATAGAGAAAGGAGCGTGGGGGGAGACGAATGGTACCGAGTGAGCTGTAATGCGATCTCCTTTTGGTGCTCCTCCCCGTCAAAACAAACCCTGTGAGCGATGCCTCCTGGGTAAACGGTTTGCGACCACTGAAGCTGTGACGAGCGCCATCTGTCACCTTCAGATCACATGCCACACACGCAGACTGACACAAATCTTTGCCTTGTCTCGTTCTGTTGAGTCAATACTGATGGACACACATGAGAATGTGAAGTCTTCTTTATTCCCTCTCGTATCGGTCTTTAAATCTGTCGCGTTCCCTCTCAGTTTAGTTGAGATGTAGTGGCACAAAATCCCCCTGATCAGCTTGATAGTTCTGAATATACATCAGGTCTAACTTTCCCACAATCCCCCGTCACGCTGCCCGCAGTACAAGTCCAAAACATACAACATCTCTCTTCTGCTCATTAATCATCTTCATGCACAGACACACACTCACATTTTGTGTCTCAACTTACATGCTCTATTGTTCATTTTTCAATTTGTAATAGCTTTTTCTTACATCTGGCCTCCCACTGTTACTGTGTGTGTGTGTGTGTGTGTGTGTGTGTGTGTGTGTGTGTGTGTG